GTATTTGGACATCAAAAACATCTAATTTGAACCAATGCTGCATTCAACATACCACGTGACACAAAAAATCGATATTTAGGAGTTTTTAATATTTATCTTTAAATTAAGAAATTAACTAATGTATAGTACTAAAATTTGAATTATAATCAAACTTATTGACATAGTTTCATAGAATAGTAGTTGAATAAAATTTTGAATGCGAGTCAACAAATGCGATGACATAATCTTTGACCTGTGTTGATAGAGTTAATGCTATTATGATCTGCAAGTACCTTTTAAATGTTGAGTGCACACCAGGGCTTGAGTTGTGTAAAGTTATCAAGTGTAGCTCATTTTCACAGCCCCTATGAGGCAGAGGTGCCGGGGTCTCTTATTTCGATTATTTGATGATGTCACAAGGTATGTTGACACAGAAAAATAACTCAAATGTGGAAGAATGACATGTTGCATAAATGATATGAATTGATAAGATTTTGGTAACTTATCTTTATATTTATCTATGTCCTTGGACATTCTACTGCAGCTATGTTTTCATAAAAACTTCTAACAACAGTAGCATTTTTCACAACAATTTATTACAACAGGAATGGTGCTCCGGTTTGTTCCCCCTTAAATCAAGCCCTGGTGCACACCTGCATATCAAATTTCAGAATTTAAGTAACAAATAATAACTTGAACTCTGTTTCAACAAATATTACTTTTCAGATATTTAAGATGCTAATTTTTCATCTTTTAACATTTATTTAACGTAATTCTTAAAGAAAACTAAAAAAAAGTTAACTTTTATTTCTACACAGTTCCGAAGAGTCTAGCTTGTAAAAACTACAAACTTATTCATTTTTTTAGAATTTTTTCCATCCCAAAGTATTGGTTTATATTTGTTAATAAACTCATCCCATGAGAATATAAATTAATATCCATATTTTGTTTCTCAAGATTTTCCTTCTCTTTAACTGATTTTATTACTACAGTCTTTGTCCCACTCCTCTTATGATGTTACAACCTGTGATCTGAACAACTTCTAATGAAGCTCAGCTTTGAAAATAGCTACAGACAAATTTTTAATACCATTGGTTAAAGCAGGTTATAAACTATTTATGTCGGTGTAGAGTAGATAAAGTGGTATGAACAACACCTCATGGTTTTGTGGGAAAGTGACTAGATGGAACTCCTGCACAAGAGAACAAAGGAATCTTATGGGACATTTAGAAAACTTATGATCAAATCACAATTCTAAGAATTTAATTTTTTTTTTACACATTCTATTCATTCTTGAGAGCCTGAATGGGAATTGGGACTAAAATGTATGTGGAGGGGCAGAAAAAGCCAGACCTAATTATTGTGGATATTGTATGTATCCTATTATACCCATGGGGGCTGTTGCTCTCACCTTGTTCACCCATCCCACCTATGCCTGAGAATGTGTTAGTTTTAACTTACATCTGATTAAAAGCTAAAGAAATTTTCTTTGACAAGACATCAGGTAAACTTAGTTAGGTTTAACGACATGATAGGTCCTGGCCAAACATTTTGATTCTTATTTATTGAATGTTATTGTTGTTAAGTTTATTGTATTCAAACAAATAATATAAATAAAAAAAACTTATTATGTAGTGAAAAGAAACTATTATATAAATTGATCTCAACTAAAAATATTGTTACCTCTGCTGATCTGATGTCATTTTGAATGGACAGGTCCCAGATCACTGACAAACCTTTGTAGTATATTTTAGGATTTATAGCTGAAAGTGGTGACTACAGTAATTGGCAGAATAAAGTAAATATGTGAGTATCAATCAAGTTGAGACTGACTGAATATATAAAATGAAACTCTCTGATGAAGAATAAACAACTGGAATTCTAACGTTAAGGGACATATTTTTATTTTATTTTTTCAAAAGAATAAATGTTTTGAAGTTTCACAACCTAAAAAATGGTAGAAAAATTAAATCAAATTATGTGAATTTTGTAAGCTGAAGCTAGATACTACTTACTAAGTTTCTACTAAGCTTCATGTACTTAGGAAAAAAATCAGGGGATATCAGTTACACCTCTCTAGTCAAGAACGAGTTAACACAAGTTGTTTGTCATTTTCTTTTGTTGCAGGAAGTATATATTATATATGAAATCAATTTATTACCAAAGTGTGGTCAAAGTAAAGGTTGACAACAATTTCAAGGATTTCATACCCAAGTGCTAAATGAAGGTCATAGTGGTTTTTATTTTAAACTCTTAATTGTTTCATAGAAGTTTTGATGTGTTCCATTTTCTTGTATGACACTTGTAGAGTTCAATGTTTGAAATACTACAAATATTTTCACTAAATAGATGTGGTAATTAATAAAGAAAAAAATTATGGAAATGAAACTCTATGTTTTTAATACATGTACAAATAATACAAAAATGGGTATGATATAAATCAGTATACTTTTTGTACTCCAAAAATTGATTATTCAAATCTTTTTTTTTTGCCAAATAACAATGTGTAGAACATATTCATAATGAAAGATATAAATCAGTATACTTTTTGTACTCCAAAAATTGATTATTCAAATATTTTTTTTTGCCAAATAACAATGTGTAGAACATATTCATAATGAAAAATATGTGCAGAACTCTGTGTTTCATTTTAATTTATAGTCTAGTGGAAGTTAAACCATATGGTATTTGCTTTTTTGTCAGGATAAATGTGTTACTGTTAAAATACTAAAAACACTCAACTTCATAAATTATTTGACAAAATATATATAGCTAGCATGTCAGATTAGGGATTTGAGGTTCTGTATGTGCATTATAAGAGTGATGGTTAGATCCCATTATGCAGTCTGAAAAGAGTAGCCCAAGAGTTAGCAGTGGTGTTAACTAAACGTCTTCCCTCTACTCTATCACTTCAAAATTAGACAGTTAATGCAAAATGTCTTTGTATAGCTTTGTTTAAAATTCAACAAACAAAATTTTGTGTAGTTTTTCCAAGTTACAATATAAAATTACTCAATAATGGCTGTAATAAAAAATATTTAGTTATTATTCAAAGTGTACAAGTTATAAATACCATATTTTTCGGTGTATAAGACGGACTTTTTTACCCCAAAATTTGTTGTCAAAATCTGCTTGCGTCCTATACACCGAAGGTATGAATAATATATATGTATGATATGCACAAGTCATGTGTAAATATATTTAAATAGGCATGCATAGTTTAGTTCAATTGAA